CCCCCCCCACCTTACTGCCTTCCTTACCCGTATTACCGCCGACCTCCCCATTCGCATTTATATCCGGACTTCGATCGCCGGCCTGATTTAAACCTCGTATCGTCTTCGACCGGCAAAGGTCCTTCCAGGCAAGTACCGTCCAATGGGAAATCGAATCGAAATAAACGAGTCGAACGCCACTCTTTACGAAAATCCAAAAAAAAAAAGAAGAAAGGATTAACATCGGGTTCCTATATCCCGTAGCAAGGATGTTTTTTCATTCGAGAGAGACGGACGGCTAACCCTCGCCCTCGGTTAATGGCGGGTGTGGGTGGGTTTCACTATCGGCAATATTGATAGTTTTGGCTCGACCTACGGGGTTGAGAAGGGTTGCTTTGCTCAAATAAACGCTGTGTTACGTAATATATATATATATATATATATGTAACACTCTAGTACACCACAGTCACCGGCACCATCCACCTACGTGAACCTGGCACCCGACTTAAAAATATTATAATTTTCAAAACGCGATTCGATTGTACCCCCTTTGTACCTGGTTGTACTACTTTAATTTTCGTTTGTACCTCAAAGAATTGGAAATTACAGGGGGGTCAAAAAACCGCTAGCACGCAACTTGGAGTAATTTAAATTCTGTTTGCAGGGATGCATTTAGAATCGTTTGTACCCGTTCGTACCACCGTTAGTTTCGTTTGTACCTTAATGGGTAAGGAGATACAGGATTTTCAAAATTGACTAAGGGGTAACTCCGCCATTTTTTAAACTGGCTCAAATCTGCGAAGGGTTGCTGGCTTAGAATGCAAACGAAGGTAAAGTAAAATTAGTAATCTTCTTGACTTGGTTGATTTGAAAATGTAAGTAATAATACCATTCAAAAAAATGTAGCTAATTTGTAGAAATTATGGATGATAAATTAAGACGTTCATATAGTCCGAAACTGTATTCAAAGCGCCCTGGAACTTGTGAATGCGCAATGGAATTAAAAAAAAAAAAATATTCAGCTTATTTCTATAAAAAAAATAAAATCGTATCAAGTCCTCGCTACATAATTTGTTTATTCGAAATTTCTTTCGAAGCCAGCTCAAAAAATGGCAGAGTTACCCCTTAGTCAATTTTGAAAATCCTGTATCTCCTTACCCATTAAGGTACAAACGAAACTAACGGTGGTACGAACGGGTACAAACGATTCTAAATGCATCCCTGCAAACAGAATTTAAATTACTCCAAGTTGCGTGCTAGCGGTTTTTTGACCCCCCTGTAATTTCCAATTCTTTGAGGTACAAACGAAAATTAAAGTCGTACAAACATGTACAAACGGGGTACAATCGAATCGCGTTTTGAAAGTTATAATATTTTTAAGTCGGGTGCCAGGTTCACGTAGGTGCACCATCCTCTTCAGCGCGGCCACAGCCGCCACAGCTCTGTCTATATGCAGATGCTCGCAAAACCCTCAAAAAGCAGGTGTACCAACTGACGCAAAGGGATAAGTGAAAAAAAAAGGTCGAGTAGAGCCGCTGATTAAAGTGCATTGCTCGCTATGAGGATCTACGAAATAGCATAGTCCGAAGCAATGGCAACTTCCTGAAGACACCCTGCCCCGCGGGGGTTGGCTATGCATGACTCTGTGCTTTGCTAAAACGAGGCTGGACGAGAAGTCAGCAGGCCGAGTAATCATCTGGGAACGTTGGGATAGAAGGCTTGGCTGTGATTTATATGGCTAAGGATATATCCCACTTTAATGAATAAATTGATACTTTGACGAATTAAGGTCTCGCGAGGTATACT